CACAGACTGTAAGTACGTTTTTTATATTTAAAGAATTTGCCACTGACGATTCAAACACGAGTTTTGAGCCATGTAGAGTAGCGTTTGTAGTTTGTAATTTCTCAGATCACAAATGCAGACATGGTTTCATGTTTAAGAAGCGTGTAAAAAGACAGTATAAGTCATTATAATCCATAATTATGTCCCCACTGGATGCAACAAATGCCTCGTTTTAGCCGCATGCGAGCTTCAGTGTAAATATTGCGTCAAAATCAAATCAATTTGAGCGCAATTTAAACCCGGATGATTGTAACCACTCTAAGTTTGTCTGCATTGGGAAAGCTAGCGTGTCTCCGACATAGTGATAACACTCGTTGCCTTCTCTAGTGCAGCTCAACCAGGTCTCATCCCATTCGCAAAATATGCGTTGTAGTCCAAACGAGTCGTTCGTTGTAGTTTTTGAAAAGTGATTTCTGTTAAATAAAATATCTCCTTTTGAATTGGACTTTGAGCTTTGTAACTTTGCAGATCTTTTTTATGCTCAAACAGCAACATTACAGACTAACTAAAGTTGAAAAAGCATAATAGCACCCCTTTAAAGTTTAAAACACATCTCACTCAATAAAATGGCTAAAATTGTGTCTGCTTGAATCTGGTGCTCAGGCCCTTGAGGTACAATCTTGTGGGTAATTTCTTATTACATCTTATTTCATGTGTTTGAGAGAGTCTCTAACCTCCTGCCCCGGTGCGGGTGTAGAGGGGCAGACTGGTGGCCACTCTCTTCAGGATCTCCTGCTGAGTTTCTGGACGCTGTTCCTTCTCATACTGTTCTTTCTCAGATTTGGGTAGACAGAACTGACACACAATACAACGCAATCAGCTCACTGTGTGACAAAGCAGCAGCATGTTCCATTTTAACAACAATAATGCATAAAATGATACGTATAAAACACTCACTACATGGAAACAAATAAATATTGTGTGCATTTATTCATAATGCCTGAATTAACATGTTAATATGCATATCACCTGTGTGGCATGTTACCATGGGCTGCACGTACAAAACAAATAAAACTGTTTGTTTTATACCTGCTGTACCTCTTTGGAAGGGGTGCTTGGTCTTGTAAAGATGGTTTTCCAGTACGACCACACAAACATGATGAACGACACATGAAACACAGCCAGGTAGACAACTGCATGGAACAGAGAGAGTACAGTCATTAACAACAAGACTGCATAAGCCCACAGAGAAAAGCCTGCCAGAAACAGTCCGAGTATAAATCAGTCACGTTTGTGATTGCTGATGCAGTCTGACTGTGCTGGAAGGCCGAAGTCAGCACAAGCACGGACCAAATAAACCCATAATAGCCTGACAACTATGCCAATGAGACTCTGTCCCTTTCTAAACATATATACAAATATCTTTAACTCTTGAAATAAATTATTTTCCTTGGTATAATATATTGAACAGTTATTTGGTTTGTGAATTTAAGAAGATTTTTACAAGGGTCTTTTAAATAATTGATTCTGATTGGCCAGTTGGTCATTGGTCAAAACCGTTGTCCCAATTTATGTCTCCTGTATCATTCCATGCATTATTTTTATTATATAACTCAAATCAATATTTTCTATGCATTTATTTATTTAAAATGTTTTAAATTTAAATTAATTTATTTAATGTGTACCTAGAATAAACTGTGTAAACTGTTTTCGATAAAAGTGTCTGGCAAAATGCAAATGCATAAATGTGTGTGCAATATATATATATATATATTGTAAATTAATGAGGAAGAAACTGGATTATATACAGTCAGCATATAAACACCTTAAAGGTGATGCAACATCATGACTGTACATTATCCTTAACTTGGCTTTTTTTCTTTAAAAAAAGTGAAGGTTTACTCACCCTTTTCAAGAGTGCTGGGAATAGTAACTGCAGAGAATATAAAACAGAAAGAGAAAAGAAACTGTTTAGCAGATATGACTCATTGCACATCTGCTTTATCACACTTCTGCTTCTATGAACAAAGCTGAAATATGAAATACACTTTACTTGGACATGTGACAGAAGACTTGAGGCTTGACTTTGTTAACATGTTTGCTTATAAACTTATAACAAGCATATTTTCCATACTGAAAATATACATTTTCAACAAATCTGATTTCTAAAGAGGAAGAACCTGGACGCGTCACTAAACGTTTCACAGGGTTCCTACTGTAACACTGTAACTATTATTTTATAATAATATAATGTTGCATGACTAAATATAAATATTAATTTACATTAAAATGATTAACTGCAAAATAAACGAATACAGTTGTCACCACCCAGCTTATAAAGACTTCCTGATCTTGAATACGGTGTAAAACACAACATATGCTCCAAAACCATAATCCTTGTTGTTTTGCTTCCATTTTAAAATCAGTACGCTAATTAGCCAGCTCATGTAAACAAACCATTCATTGATGTTTCAGTTAAGCGACTTCCGGCAGGCGCGTGCCCCTCAGATATGAATAATAAAGCGTACTTACACAGACACAGCTCCACCACGTACGCATAATACGACCAGCACACCACTAAGGCAATAAATATCACCGGTATCCACGCCAGACCCCTCTGGCAGCATCTCAGTACATGTGTAGGCGCCATTTTTCTCCTTCTTGACTACAAAAGACGGGAAAAGAGGGATATGATCTGTCCATCCGTGCCCCACCAACCCCGCCGGTTCGGCTCTGCCTTTACCCCGCCTCCAATTCGCTGTTCTACGGTGAAGGGCTGCTTATGAATATTCATGACGTTGCAGGACGTTTACCCAGTAGACTTGCATGATTGGCTGAAAAGTAGACGTTGCTAAGCGGGCGCCAGTCTACTGGCGAATCAACGGCGCGCAAGCTAACATTTATTAGGTTACTCGCCTGAACGTCGGAAAAACTAAATAAATGATTTGTTTTCATAGTAGGATTCTTAATTTCGCGCCAGTCTACCACAGATAGGGTTAGTTTGCGTTACTACTTATTTCGGTGTTTTAAATAGTATTACACATGTAAGTTACTTAAATTATTTATAATAATACACTATATAATAAATGTTTTAATAATAAATATGAACTGCATCTGTCGTACTCCTAATACATACAATATTATTTCAGTAAAAAACAAAAACAAATAAAATTGACTCAAGATATTATCATTGCTGCTTCTTTTAATAAACTTCTTTCAAGTCGAAAAATACTTGTTTGCACAAAGTCTGCTTAAGTATAGAAATTGTTTTCACTATTTGGTAACAAAAGGAGACAGAAACAAAAATGAGTATACAAGCTGAACATTCTTTTACAGGTTGACATCTATTTGGTACAAGTAACCAGAAAAACAATAAACATAGGTCATGGTAATGGGATGGGATGACACATTTACAATCACAGAACATGTGGTTTAAAATAAAGCCACTAAGACACAGGTAAACTTAGTTTATGAGTATCTTCATTATCGAGAGCATTTACATTGAAATCCCTTCACAGGTATTCTGTGCATCACAAAATATGCTCCATTAGATCTTACGCAATTCGGGCAACAAACACAGCATAGTCACAAAGGTAAAAGGGAGAACCGAACAGAATCTCAAGAATCCTTCAAGGGCATCCAACAGAGAAAATATATATGTACAAATACACACACACACACACACACACACACACACACACACACACACATATATACATATATATATATATATATATATATACCAAAAAGACTCATGGCTGTATTAGATCAAAAGGGTGCTTCTACTAAATACTGAGCAAAGGGTCTGAATACTTAGGACCATGTGATATTTCAGTTTTTCTTTTTTAATAAATCTGCAAAAATGTCAACGATTCTGTGTTTTTCTGTCAATATGGGGTGCTGTGTGTACATTAATGAGGAAAAAAAATTAACTTAAATGATTTTAGCAAATGGCTGCAATATAACAAAGAGTGAAAAATTTAAGGGGGTCTGAATACTTTCCGTACCCACTGTATATAAAAATAAAGATCTGAGATACACATCATCTTTACCTCGTGGCATTTCCCTTTACCCCTGTATAGACTTGCTGTTTTATCTCTTGCCCCTCTTATTTCCTGCTGGTGGCTTTTTGAGCTGTAGCAGTGGCCCTCCTGTCCCAAATCCAGGAGTTTGTGTGTTGGAAACACCAAAGGTCAATCCAGCTGATGCATTGATGCCGGGGTTACTGAAGTTGAAGCCAGAGGTGTTAGATGTTCCAAATCCTGAGAAACAAAGATTTTAAAATGTGAGCAGTAAATATTTTAAGTTTTCTCAACCTTTACTGCACCCAACAAGCACTTAAGCATGTCAATAAACAAATAAACCATTCAAATTTTACATTTCAAACTCTCTGATATGCAGCACTTGCCCTTAAGCAGCATGATGTTGATGCATTCTGGGGGAAAGGATGATTATAATTAAGGGGGGAGCTGTTAGTAATTGTTTGCGTTGACAAAAGTGGGTAAGATGGAGGAGGGTGCTAACGAACACACCTGCACTCAGGCTCCCTCCAGATGGCTTGCTAGAGGAAAACCCGAACGACAAACCTCCTGTTGCCACGCCCCCAAACCCAGGGCCGCTACCAAATGCTGCCGAGACAGATGGGGGGCATTTAGGTGTTGCGACTACATACTTTCCAGAGATAAACTCTCAGTCACAGGGCGGAGAGATGCGGGACAGGAATGAATGATGAGTTATATTTGAGATTAACTAGGAAAAACTGATGAAGGAAAAATATGGTTAGGGAAATGTGAAAAATACAAGTTCTATATACAACCTAAACAATAAAAAAGATTCTTGTTTGTTTTTAAAACAAGAGTGCCAAATCTTAGATCTACAGGAATTTGCCATCATACCATATCTTGTATTATTTATTTTCTGTATTTTTGCAAAACAACTATTTTATAGACCCACCAAAAAGCACAATACAAGTGGTTCAAATGACTTCCACATTATTTTAAGCATCTTCTGAATCCAAACGATAGTTTTTATGTGAGGAAAAGACCAACATTTAAGATAATTTTCCTCTCATTTGTGAATTAATCAATGAATACAAATTGCGAACTGGACATGTTTCACTTAAAAGGAGCTGGATCCAAAGATCTATGAATTAAGACTGATCTTTTTCTTAAGTCACTGAATCTGTTCGAAGAGCCTCGAGTTTGCTATGGAAAATTATTTCCACCACGGAATTAAAAAATGTAATTTTAACTTTTCATCTCACACTTTTTCCCTCAGAAATGTGAGGAAAAAACTCAGAATTCAATTCTCAATACAAACTCAATTCTAAGAAAATAATCAGAATTGCAAGGTTAACTCTCAATTCTGAGAAGAAAGTCCAAATCAAGATATAAATTTGCAATTTAAAAAAATGTTTGAATTGTGACAATCTCCCAGTTATTAAAAAAAGTTAGAATTGCAAGATGTCAGATTTGGAGATATAAACTCGCAATTGTGAGGAAGTCAATTACCTTTATAATATTTTCATTCCATGGTGAAATAAGCTTCACTCACTATAGGGGAAGATTATCAGTAATTACTTGTTTTTTGGAGAAAGTATTTTTTTCTCTCATACATCTAACCACCATAATATGGATTTAGAAGACTTGGAGAACATGAGATGTACAGACTAATTTCATGGGGCTTACAAGCTATGGTCACTATAAACAGTTGATCTTCATGGATATATCTACAAATTTTTGTTTTTTTTACAAAACTAAAGAAAAAAAATAGATTTTAAATTTTTGGATGAACTGTCTTTTTAAGATTGAGACTGAAAGCCTTAAGAATGCAGAGATAGAAAAGGAGAGGAGAGGTTTATCACAGCAAGTACCTCCGAGGCTGGATGAGCCCATGCTAGTGCCAATACCAGAGGAAAAGGGAGTGCCAAAACTTGCCCCCAAGGGTGCCTGTGGTCCTGAGACAAAGACAGAGAGCAGAGGAACTTACTCTCACACACTCTCATATATAGATCCATATTATCAATATGCATACACTAAAAAATTTTGACCAAACAGTCAAGTGAGAGAAGCACATGCTTTGAAACCATCTTTTGTCCTTATTGAAAGTAAGTGGCACAAGAGCTACATAAAAGCCATATCAGCATTCTCTAAAACACTGCTCATTATGATGTTGGAGCAAATGCAATATAATAGAACATCAAAATAATAGGCCCTATTGGCTGCAAATAGACTTTTTTCTATTTATTGTACTAATCTGCTTCTTGTTACTTACCTTGGATCCATACAATCTTATTTTGATGGATTTTCTAAGTCACTTAATATGACAAAAGTTACTTATTTCCTAAACGACATCTGCAGACCTGCTGTTACTTAATGCATTGCTATTAGACTTGTGCCGGTATTCGGTAATGCGATATATCACGGTAATGAATATGCACAATATTGTTATCGTGGGCTCTTCTAAATACCGTGAATAATTATATATTACAAGTTATTCAGAATTTTGAATGCATTTTAAGAATACTTTTCCCATCAACTGGTCAAAATGCACAACACCGCTGTATGCTGCGTGAAAAACGCGTGCGCACTCTGACATAAACAAGCGCGGACGAGAAGCACATGGCGGAACATGTGAGAGACGCTCTGGATGAAAGCGCAAATTAATCGCAACATGAGAATTTGATACTGGCATATCCCTAATTGCTATATTATGCTCCTGTCTCGTTTCCTTTTAGCTGGTTTAAATTTGATTAGATTATTAATTTAGAGATGTGATAAACCAGCATCTCAAATGCAGTCTTTTAATCCAATTCATTGAGAAAAATCAATGATTTATCAGTCAAAAAGAAACAAAGACAAGGACTTTTCTTTAAAAAACTGATTTATTGTCAATTCAAATTACATTAAACATGACAAACAATTGAGGACAAATGATTCCTAGTAGTAGCTATGGCATTAACACTGTTTAAAATGATTAAAATGCGCCAAAAATGCATTTCAAACAAGGGTTAAGACTAATGTTGTATCTAATTCAAAAGGCACACCATTTCAAATGCATCAACAAGCATCATCTAAACAAAAAAATTAATAATAATAATAATTTAAAAAACAATCGATTTATAAGTTAGATTATAGAATTCACTATGTTACTATTTGTAAACAACCAAAATAATAAGCCCCATATGTGTTCCAAGGAATGGAAACGTATACCAAGAACCAGACATGTCTATAAACAGACATCCTGTGTAAGAGCTTTGATAAAGTACCAACACACAAAAGCCACAACTTCCTAAAAGCGTTTTTTAAAAACATGACATACATTAAGATAATTCGTTTGTATAGTAGATTGGCAAATAAAAGCAAAAGAACGCCTGTAAGATCTGAGATTGGCAATGGCCCATAGTGGAAGTTCACTGACGGTCTGATTCATAGCTTTCCCACAAAGCAGAAGATGTGTTGCTTTCATCTTTTGCGAGAAAAGTTTTTTGAAAAGGTGTCTGAAAAGGAATTACCCTCTCCACTATCACTCAAAATTTTGAGTTATGACAGCTATGGTAGAGATTGAGAAAGACGGATCTAAGCATGAAATAGCAGCTCTGGGCCACCAAAAGGCCAAGAATCACAAAAACTGCACTTCTGAATACTGAAATTTGGCACAATCCTTCACCACGGACCCTCAACAGTTCCATAAAGCAGCATGTTCACTCAAACTGAAGGCTTGAACACTGTAGCCCTTAAAGTAAAAAAATGAATAACTAATGTCTGGATTTTCTAGGATTTTCATCATTAACAGACTTTACTGCAGTGTGTTGTGGTTGGGCTGGTTCTATAAGGAAATGCCAGCAATTGTATCTCACAACTTGCGTGTTTATACATTCAAATACTGTGCAACATATTAAGCCATGCCGTTGGTTTAGCGCACTACATATTTACAGTTAATTTAATATGCAAAAGCACCCACAACAGCCTAGACTTTCTTAGGCACAAAGGCATAGTCCATTTCCAAAAAAATATTATAATACTGATAATAAAAACTATTAACTGGGGAAAACAACGAAATGTGAATGACGAACAGTCAAGTTTTCAATCAAAATGATTTTGGCTTATGGATCACACTGATACAGCCCTTTTGTTGACTTATTTCCAGTAAAATCACAAATCAAAAATGTCTGTAATTTGATCCTACTCTGTAGACTGAGAACCCAGAATAAGACAAGTGTAAATCAATTCTGTGCCATAGAAGTGGAACATCTAACACCATCTCTCACACCTCCGACCTGCTGCTATTATTGCCAGGAAATATCCATGGAAACCACAAATGCAACCATGGTTACAGACGGTCGGAGGGTGTCACCAAAGCAAAGAAACCTTTAATCGAGAACAAAAAAACACACAGAAATTGTATCATATTCACTGAGCTATCCAATGAAATACAGTAAATGACCTTAATGCACCTCAGAATCAGTAGCTTACACACTCCCTTCTACACATGCATATGCAAACCCCATGGAAATCTGGTTAATTCAAATCACCACGACCACAAAAAGTATGTATTTTGGAATAAAACGGTCTTTCCATAACTAAACCAAACAAGCATGGTTTTGATGCAAGACAAAATGCTGAAAATATCAAAATACTTGGCAAAACTACCAAGAGACAACCTAAACAACTGATATACATGCGGTTCTGAACTTCTGATAGATCAAAATATTACAACTGATCTCAGATGAACGGACACTCATGCAAAAAAGTTTTATACTTTTAAAACAAGTGATTATGAAAATGATTTAACAGCAACTGAATTTGTTTAGTATGCAGCTATCAAAATGCTTGTTAGCAGTATGGTGCCACCAACTGAGAAAAACATGGAAAGAACCAAATGTGTTCCTATCTTGAGGTACGGCAATCTCTTTCCTGCAAAGCATGTTTTACTAAATTACTCTGCTTTTTTCTGTCTATTCCCATCGAAAACAAACATATTGCTCAAAAAGCTTCAGCCACAGTGGTCGTACTGAAAGTGTTTGTTGGCACTTCAAAATATCAACTTTCATATCCACTATGAAGGAATATGGGTTTAGTTGATTATGGGAACATTAAATGGAAATAAGTGTGAACATTTCATTCTGTGTGTAGTGAGTCTACTGTGTTTGGCTACTTTGTATAGTGACGGCTACATTAGTGCTGTTGATCAAATCCTACGACCTTCTGTGCCACTCAAAATAGAAAACGTGTCACCCCTAAATCAGATCACCTCAAAATAACAAACTCCTTTCTAAACCTTGATTGGGTTTGGAATGTTCCCATTTAACTTATTAAACATTAAAATAGCATTTAATGCTCTTGCTTTACATCTTGTGTTTTTTCTTGAGCGAGGAAAAGAGAAAAAAGAAAACAGAAGTTGGGCAAGACAATCAGCATCTAAAATCTCACAGCACTAGTTGGCACACATAGAATCACATGATGTATGTTAAAAGAACCCTGTTGCTCCATATCTCCAAAAGAGACAAGTAAAAAAAAAAAAAACAGACATGATGGCACTGACTGATTTTAGGATTTATTCTCGAATTTGTTTGCTCTATCTGCCCATCTCTGTCATTCCCCCCTCCCTCTTTCCTTCTATTCATCCCTCCCCTCATCATACTAGCAGTCTAGAGGTCAAGAGGTCTAGAACTTGAAGGCGGTCAGACCTGGAGCCGGCTGCTGCTGCTGAGTGAGAGTGGCAGCCATTGCAACAGCTGCTGCGTTGGGAATGCTGCCGAAGGGGGCGGGGCCTGTGGTGACATGCGGAGAACTCTGCCATTTCTTGCCAGCAACACGTTTTGACTCAAATATGTCAGTGGAGTCGTCAAGGAAGGCTCGTCTGTAGCCCAGATACTGATGTTTGAGAGTCTACAAAGAACGAGAGAGAAGAGACTTTTCAAATACAATGATTCTGCTTTAATTTAATCATGAAATCTTAATGTATTAAGAATTTATTGGGCTTGCTTTATTAGTGCATGTTATTACAAAGAATACATATCCACTACCGATAAAAGTTTGGGGTCAGAAAGGTTTTTTTATTAAAGAAATTAACATTTGAGTTTAGCAAGGACTAATTAAGAATTAATCTATAGAGACAGTAAAGAAATATATACTGTAACAAAAGATTAGTTCTACATAAACTGTTGTAAATTTTCTATTCATAAATGAAGCCTAAAAAACAAAAAAACAAAACAAAAAAAAAGTGTCCACTAAAACCCAAAACCATTTTCAAAATAAGAAATGTTTCTTGAAGGGTTAGTTCACCCAAAAAGGAAAATTCTGTCATTAATTACTCACCCTCATGTCGTTTCAAACCCGTAAGACCTTCGTTCATCTTCGGAACACAAATGAAGATATTTTTGATGGAATCTGAGAGCTGTCTGACCCTGCATAGACAGCAACGCAAATGAAATGTTCCCAAGTCCAGAAACGTAGCAAGGAGATCTGTAAAATAATCCATGTGACATCAGTGGTTCTTCCGCAATTATACGAAGCTACGAGAATACTTTTTGTGCGCAAAAGAAAAAAAATTAAAATAACGACTTTATTCAACAACTCGTCTCCTCTGCATCACCCTGGTGCCATTTTGTAGAATATCCACTGGACGTAAACGTTCGTATGCTGTTCTGTGTCAGCTGCGTCCCACCGGATCTGATTCCTACATTGCGATTTGATCTGAACGGAAACAGTGTATCCGGCGTGACGCAGCTGACACAGAACAGCATACGTTGTTTACGTCCAGTGGATACTCTCCAAAATGGCACCAGGGTGATGCGGAGGAGACAAATTGATGAATAGAGTTATTTTTAGGTTAAATAAAGATGTCAGTCTTTATTTTTCTTCTTTTTAGGAAGAAAATCAAAGAAAAAAAAATTAACAAATTCTACTGTTCCTAATATTCTGTATGTTGTTTTTTATTTTTGCCCAGTCATTTAAAAATAACACATTATAGAGCTGTAAGGACAATACCGTGATACCGTGAAATTTTTGCTTAAGGTTATCATACCGTCAAAAATGTGCATAATAAAATATACAAAATATAATTTTTTCTATAATACTGATGTATTGATGCATTAATGCGTATATATAATACATTTAAAATAAAAATATTAAATATGGTCCATTTAAGACATTTTCAGAACTTACCTTAACATTCTCATGAACTCCCTGCAACTGTGCAGCAAGTGCAACAAACGTCTGGTAGAGTTTCTGCATGGCCAGGGAAAAATCTACATGATAGATGACATAATACAGTCAAGACGATACCCGAGCTATCTTTCTATCATATGAATCACGGCTGTGCTTTTGACAGAGAGCATAAAGTAGATTAAAACCTTGAGGGGTGATGTGGTAGCCGCTGCTCTGAGTGGTCAGATGATTCTCCAGTTCTTCAATCTGCTGACGGTACTGCTGTAACTGCACCTCAAATTGCTCCACCAGAGCCCGGAAATAACTGGAGTGAGACATGGACAGCACATTGGCGGACAACAATTAAAAGTAAGCTAATTTTACTGCTTATCGTTGGACTTTACGAGTAGAACTGCAAAGATTCACTCACTCGGAAGGCGCTGTGTTCTCATGTTGGAGTCCAGGAGGGGTCTTCTGGGTGCGAAGTGCGATATCAGCATTCTTCAATTCCTGCATTAAGAAAAAAAATGGATTACAAGATTGAACAATGCTCAGTTGAACTGTTTGCGATTTGTTTGAAGGACATTCTTGTCCAACCTGAGAGGTTTCCAACTTCAGTTTGTCTATGGAGAGTGAATTTCTCTGCAGCCCACTGGCACAGATGGACAGGAGCTGTCTGAGCGTCTGGATGTCCTCTTGCGCTTTGAGAATGGCTTTAGAAGACATCCTGCTGATCTCTTCCTGGACTTGCTTCTGTTCCTTGACAAACTTCCTGTGGAAAAACACATATTAAGCACTAAATCAACTATAAGCAACTAGAAAAAAAAAAAAGTGGCACACTTACTGAAAGTTGTCCACATCCCGAATGTAACTTGATTACAGTGGAAAAAAAAGACTGACCTGTCAAGGAGGGGTTCGAAAAGAGACTGGAACCAAAGGAAAAACCCGCGGCAGGAGCAGAGGAAGTGGTGGCAGCTCCTCCTAAGTTGAGGGAGAAGCCGGTGGAGCTGGTCTGAGGGGCTATGGAGGTCAGGACGGATCCCAGAGTCAGGCCTGTGCCTGTAGCTGCAGAGGTGGTGGTTGTCAGTGAGAAAGGTGTAGCGGAGGCTGCTGGCTTTCCGAAGCCCAGGCTGAATCCAGTAGAAGCAGCGGTCGAGGTGGTAAGACTCCCTACAAACATGCAAAAACAACAAAATTGGAAATCAGTACAGCATGTCTGACAGACTTAACCAGTGGTTCTCAAAGTTTAGATTTATTTTATATTTTACATTTTACAATAAAAAAAAATATATACTATATACTATATATAATACTATAATAATACTATATTTAAATAATACCAAAAGAATTCTGTTCTTATATATTCTTATATATTTTTCTTTCGCTCCCTGCCTGTACTTCCATTAAAATATTTTCAATTTCATACTTTAGATTCTTCAAAGTAGTCACCCTTTCATGAGATGCATCCTGTAATGCTTTTAACAGTTTTGAGGCAGTGTTGATATTATTAACTAAAATTATTAAGTATGGAAGTATATAAATTGTTTTCTTTAATTAAGATTAAGCTGAAATAAAGTAAAATAAAATATAAGTATTAGTTGACAGATCTAAAAAACAAAAAAACAAAATAGATTTAAAAATCTTTAAATAAATTGAGAAAAATTCACTGACATTTTGAAATGTTAATTGAAAAAAAAAACGAACTGAAATAAATACATTTAATATAAGTTACTTAATACTATTTTATATGTGTGTGTGTGTAGCTCACAAAAAACATAAATTCAGTGGTGTGTTTCCATGATTTTTACTGGTACTGCATGTTTTTATACTGCGGTAATGTGTTGTTTTTTTCTTTACGGCAGTTATTGTTTTCTTTAGTGTATTTTTAATGTGTCTGACTTTAAATTGTGTGCTTAGGTGTGTAAGACATATCCAAGAGACTTATACGTACCCATTACGGCCAGTAAACCCATCATAGTTGGAAGCTCCAAGTTCAGAAGCAAAGGCCGATTTCCTGTTCTTACATACTTCTACCAAGAGAAGAAGGTAAGAATGGTTTAATCCATCTATATTAATAAGAATAGAAAGCCAGTGATTTAAATGAAGTATGTAGACCCTTTCTTTATCTTTAGGTTTCATTAAAACTATTTTATGTGCAGATGTCTGTTAACACAGTAATGGGCGTTAGTTGTTTCTTCTGTGCGGTATTAGATAAACGGAGCAGAATGGTAAACAGGTAATGGCTTGTCAACACAGAGGCTGATTATGTTAAACAGTAGTTTTACTGGGGATACTAAAGTGAAAACAGGTGCAACCGTCTGTCTCTTCTGTTGACTAATCGCTTGACGCTTGAATATAGTTATTATTATTATTTTGAATTAGTTTTTTGTCCTTATGCTTTCTGTTGAATGATTTTAATAATTTTGTTTTTGTGTTTTTGTCATTTTTATTAGTTTGCTTTTTAAAAAATTTGTACATAGTGTTTATAATTTTTTATTTCAGTTTCAGTTATTTTAGTACATCAAGTTAAACTAGTGTTGGCAACTAGCTGAAATTATATATATATATATATATATATATATATACACATATATATGAAAAAGAATTAGTCATGGATTTGTGTGCTGCAATACCACTGAGTTTCCCCTGAGGGATCAGAAGACGTTAGTCAGAACAAAATGAGGCTGTGAAGGACTGAAGTACAGTTTGCTAAGTGTGATCAGATAGAATGTGTAAAATTGACAGCCCATGCTTTCTGGAGTTCTGTGTCCATGCGATATTTTTTGGAACGTAAAATACATTGAATGGACTTGCTTCCCTCACAGCCTCAATATTGTTTACACAAATTAAATGTGTTCTACAGTCTGACAAAGTGAGATTATTCAAAATAGAATTTTAATAGAAACAATGCCTTCCTGACCACTGCCATCATAATAATCACCGTTCATCATAATAATAATACTAATAATGCTAATAATAATGATAACGTTATAATTATTATTATATGTTGTAATTTCAAATGAAATGATATTGTATATATTAATAACAATATTATTAATTACTATGTGGCACTTTTTATTTTATTATTATGAGTTATTAAAGCAGCAACAACAATTATTATAATTTAGTAACTATCATGACATACAGTATATATAATACAAATAATATAATATTTAATCACACACATATATATATATATATATATATATATATATAATTATTATATTATTATATATAATTTATAATTTTATGAATCTTTTTATAAACATTTTTTACTTTTTTCCCAAATGGCATTAAAAACCAAAGGAACATCATTGAAGTTGTCTGTGCATTTGTCAGCAACTCATTTTGCTTTTGTTATGAACATGTTTTCAGGTCTATAAAGTATTCTTGCATCTTTCATTGGCCTCATTGCACCCACTGATGGCCTCCATTTGCTTCATTCATCTGAAATGACACATGCTTTCCTGTGTCTTTGTGTTTCCACAGAAGCTCCAGAAGTTTGGTGTGAGTACATCTCCACTAAAGCCCCAGACACCTCCAAGAGAGCGCAGTCTCCCTCCCCGACCTCAGTCCCTTATCCTGGGAGCTCCTCTTCTCAGTCGGAAGGAAGTGCAGCAGGAGGAAGACGAGGAAGTGTTCGGAGAGGAGGCCAGGGAAGATGCTCCAGCCAGCACTGGCGGAGAACGGACTGTAGAGGGCAGCAGTGCCACGGAGAACAGTTACGGAGAGCTGATGGGATCCTTCGGCTCCAAGAATGAGCCCGGTGTGGTCACCTTGGAGTTTGGAGTGGCCAGAATGACCTGCTAAGGACACTTCAGAACTTGATTTTGGAAAATGAAGGAATCTAGGAGGACTGGAAAAAAATTTTATATTCTGTTGTGAGAAAGATTAAGTATGTTTGCCTGTGTGTGTGTGTGTGTGTGTGTGTGTGTGTGAGAGCGCGCCCATGTGCGCAGTTGTTTGTGTGCATCTTGAGACAAAACAAAGGCACTGATATATTTTAAGATCAGTCAATGCAAGTTTCTTTCAGTTGAAACAGCTCAGATTTACATCTTAGTCTAGGACTAGGCTTAAGCCTTGTCTGTGAAACCGGGGGATAGTATGTGAATTTGGCATACAGTGCTAAAGTTAAACTAATTACAAAAGTGTCTTATATTTTTTCATATGTAGTTCAATAAAGGCCAATTGCTTCTTTCTGTGGAGAACCATTTCATAATGGTGAGAGGCTGTCTGTGTTTTACCACATTTCCAGACGTAAGTACTCATCCGTCATCCATCTTGCAAAGCAAGCATGTCCTAAAAGTGATTATTAGGCCCAAACCCTCGGGAGTGTATTACTGACTGGAAGAGGATCACTAGGCGAAATGGGAATTAGTACTAATCCCTGCAAACATGGCCCTAGACGATAGTCTGCTGCATGCCTGTAAAGACATAAACACAAGAGCTAGCACGAGTGTGAAATGTGTACACTCAAATCTTTTGTCTGTAATCTAAACAGGCATAACTCATTGAACTTGATTTGATTAGCACATTTAAAAAAACATCAATGCAGCAAGAAACAATGGTGAAGACAGAATAACTAAATGTGTTCATTTAATAAGCACCTAGGTTCATCCAAATGACCCAAGCAATTACGAAACCACTCATTTTTCTAAGGGGCACTTTCTTAAGTCAGTGTTTATGGTGGTTATGGACCTGTATGTGATTCTTTATAAAGTCAGACTATTATGGAACAACTCAGATGTCTCCAGTAAACAAACTTTGTCACTTCCTTACATTTCCCCACTCTATATCCATTTTCATGTTCGTTGATGAGGTAAAACCTTTCTATATTTCCTAATATTCTGCTAATTATTGTAAGCTTTATTGTAAATCTTACCCTCTACCAGAGGTCACAATCGAACGTAAAGCTGTCACGTGACTCAGTAAACCGGGTTTGTTTTGCAAATCTGAGCACCGTTGGCGGGACGCGCGTGAAATGCATCCGCGCGCGGGTCAGACTGTATTAATAAGACGCTAAAGCCGCTCAGCTCTTATTACAGGAATAAAGGAATTCTGGTGAGTGAGCGGGGCCTTTTAAAAGTGTACCGTGACATATTTCGCAGCGTTTATGAGCCACGGGTTTCCTCGGGAATTTCCTATGGGTTTTTCAGAATGGCGGTGTTGGATTTATTTTCATAATCATTCATACTGTAGAACACAGCGTGAACATTGTTTCAGGAAACGTTATCAGAGACACTATTCTGAAAACCGCTGGGGTGGCCTACAAATTGACGTAACGTTAATGACAACGGAACAGCACAAACATTGGTAACTGCCATAAAAAAACACGCAGATCGCATATTAATTAAATGTATTATGATTATTTACTAAAAAAAATCTGGTTTTGGCTGTATTTTTCATAAATGCGATTTATTTCACAAAACATGAGTTTATTTATTGTAATTATGATTTTTATGTCATAAATGTCAGTTTATCTCACAATATGACTTTATATCTCATGTGACTTAATCTCATAATTGTTACCTATATCTTAATATGTGATGTATTTCTTATTTTAAAATATATATTTTTATTATTTAAACTTAAGCAGAAATGGGCTTGCTATATGTACAGAAAATATCAATCCCAATATAACGTTACTATTAAGGAAATTGATCTGCTACAGCTTACCTAATACAAAACATTTTTGGTATATATATATATATATCAAAATCTAATTATGAGATAACAAAGTTTGTTTTCTCATCAAAGTTTGGTTTCAACCATTAATTTCACTATGATTTCAATCTTTGACATGGTCTTACTCAGTCAATATTTAAGATATCAAGGTTAAATTTTCACAGAATGTTCTTTACTTTATGAAGGATGATTTTATGTAGAAAACAGTAAATCACCAAAAATGACTTTAGCTGGATTTTCACAGCCAGGGTCACAATTGACCCTGGTGTGCCTGTCTGACTCCTTCTCATAGTGATTAAGCTAATCACATAAAGACGCTGCCCCATCTATCTATTAACACAGTGAACAGCTGTGGTTTCAGATGATGATGAGGATACATATGACATGACAACAATGTTTGAACAATTTATTTTTTCAATTGCATATGTTAATCCTGTCTGTGGGAAGGTTAAACACCGTTTGAGGCTAAATGGTTTATAGCACTCTTTGTCTTCT